TATTAAATTTAATTTTATTTATATAAAATTTATTATATAAATAATAAAATTAAATAATTTTAATTTTAATATATAATTTTTTAATAATTAAAAATTATTAAGAATTTTTTTAAAATTTCTTATTTTTATTATAAGTTATTATATTTAATATTAATATATTAAAATAAAATTATATTAAATTTATTATAAAGTATATATATTAAAGTATTAGTATTTTATATAATTTAAATTCTAAATTAAAAAATTATTATAGTTAATTAGTTTAATTATAAATTAAAAAGTAAATATAAATATATTTATAATATTATTTTAATTTTAATTTTTATAATATTATAATTTGATATAAATTATTAAAATATATTTTATTTATATTTTTATATTATATTAAATTATTAATTTTTTTTAAGTTTTATTTTTATTTTTTTAATTTTTTTATTTTATTTTTTTATTTTATATTTAAATTTTTATTTAAAAAATAATTTTTCATTATTATATAATAATAAATATAAATTTTTTTATTATATTTTTAATATTATTTAATAATTTTTATAATATAATAATTTATTTTTTATTAATTATTTATTAAAATTTTGACATTATTTATTTTTTTTAAATTAATTAATTATTTTTGATTTTATTAAAAATATTTTTAATTTGATAATTATTTTATATAATCAATAATAAATTTATAAATTTAAAAATATATAAATAAAATAATAATTTTTTTAATAAATAAATATTAATTAAAATATTAAATTTTTTTAAATTACTTAATTAATTAAATCAGACTTTAAACTGAAAAAATTAATTAATTTAAATTATAAATAAAAAAGTTATAAAATAAATATATTTTATATTATTTAATTTTATTAATACTAATATATATTTCAATTATAAATAATATTATTTTAATATTTTGATTTATAATTATAATTTATTATTTAATTTTAAAATAAAATATTTTTATTATAAAACAATATAGTTTTTATATTTAAGTTTATATTACTATTAATTTTTATTATTTTTTATTTTGTTTTTACTTTATTTTCTTCATTTTTTATATTAATTTTCTTTAATTTATTTTAATAATATAATATTTTATATTTTTTATTATTATAATAATAATAATTATATGAATTTTAGATATTTTTTTATTTTATAATTTTTTTACTTTACTCTTTTTATATCTTTTCAATATAATATATATTTATTTGTATTTAAGCTAATTAATAGTATTTATAATAATATTATTTATAAACATTTTCTTAAAATTATTTAACTTTATATTTAATTAATAATAAAATAAATACTTAAAAAATTTTTTTAATTATTAAATATTAATGAATATTAATTTTTATATATTCAAGAATTTATATTATTTAATAATTTTTATAAAATAAATAAATTATAATAAAAAATAAGCTTTTAATTTTTCAAAATTATAAAATAGTTTAATATAAAATATATAATTTTATTTATTTTAAATTAAATTAATTTTATTAAAATTTTCTTTTATTTTTTTAAAATTATATACTTAATAATTTAATATAAAATATATATTTTTTAATTATAATTAATATATTTATTTTAAATTAATTAGTAATATTAGACTTATTTTTTAATATAGGCAAAAATTATATTTAGTTATTTTCAAATTATAAAATAATTTATTTCAAGAATTAATTTATTATGAATTTATTTTGAAGATAATAGTTAATATATAAAATATATCTGAATAAATATTATATTAATTTAATAATATTTATTATATTATAATAATTAACTAATTAGCTTAAAAAATTTTTTCATAAGTATTTATTTTTTTAAATGTTACTTTTGTAAAGTTGCCCTGAATTTTAAAAGTAAAAATTCAATTCCAAGCTTAACGCAATAATGATTTCAAAATCTAAATAGTTAGTTAAAATATTACTCAGAAAGTTATATTTCTTTTAAAATTGTCTTTTTGATCCACTAATTTCATCACATTTTATTGCGTATTTTTATAATATAAATAACATATGCTTTATATACTTTTATATTAATTAAACAATTGCAAATATAAATTTAGTTTGTTAAATGTATATACACTACTGGCTTTGATTATTACATGCATAGTTAATGCTAATTTCTCATTTTAAGAATTGTTTATCTTTGATATATCTAAAATGACACAAAATATCATTGTTTAATTATCGGCATCTTAATAAAAATTCACTATCGGCAATTGCAGTTTTTGAATAATGCCGTAATGATAAAGATTAAAGGACGAAACGGCAGAAAAGAGAAACTTAATGAAAGTTGGTTTATATACTATAAGTTTCAAGTAATATACGTGAAATGTTATTTTGGCATGGGATAATAGTTGCGTGGTCATTGAAAGTATTTCCAGCAATAATGTGTTGCACCATGTTTAAATATACCGATGAGGGTTGCTGTGGTTCTGGAGGTGCCGGTGCTAGTGGTGCTAGTGGTACTTGTAGTGGTTGTTGCTGTAGCAATTGGTTCATTTCTTCGAAAAGTGCATGTAAAATCAGATTAATAAAATCTCGGAGAATCGCGGGTTCTCAATATTCAAAATTTCTTTTCCAAAGAAAGAGAAATGTGTAGTATTGTGGAGAAAAATTGGGTTGCCACTATACAATGTGTTTTATATTTATAGTTGTTTTTTAAGCGCACCTTTAACTGATTAATAGTAAATGACATTTCATTTCAAGCATATCTACAAAGTTGCATGTATAATATTAGCTACTTCAAATAAAGTTTCTCGTATTCTAAATTTTTCTGAATTCCATATATCTTAATATATTTATAGTGAAGCCGTTATAAAAGAATCGGGAATGTTTTCTAATTATAATTTATAAAGCTAGGATAACATGACTTTCATTGTATAACAAGAAGCCACCTCCGTATCTCCTAGAAAGTTAGAGAGATAATTTTTATATTAATAACAGTAATTAAACAAAGGGTCTGTAGTATGTCAAGAAATGCTTGCTGTGCTTATTTAAGCAACGGTGATTTGATAACATGACCCAGTTAGCTCCCATGACTTTAAATTCTAGTCATTCGGATTTAGTATTACTAACACCAATATCTTTTATTGTTATTCTCAGTTTAGTAAAACTTTTTCCTTTTTAACAATTTTTCATTTAAAAAAATTACATCTATATCAAATAAATTTCACATGGTATGAACGTCAGTTCATTATGCATGTACATACATGTTTCTGCGGTGTTGGCATATGACTTAACATTATTGACAAAAATGGTTATAAATCGAATAAGATAATCAATAATAGTCACAAGACTTTTACATATGAATCTAATTATGAGATAAACCATTTTTGGATCAATTGAAAAAAGATTTGGAAATCACATGGTTCTTAATAAACTAGGTACAAATATTATTTTTAGTCACTGTAACCTAAAGTTAAATGACATATGCATGTAATATTCGACACCCTGCCAATTCTTTGTTACTCGGAAAAAATCGTTAGTTGAAGAGTCACAAGCTAAATGCTGTATACATGTAATTGGTTTATATGCTAGTATTGTGCTTTGCTTTTATTACATAACTTCTTTCACGTCCGAATTCCTTGTATCCATCAAATGACCTAAGACAAATAAAGATAATAAAATAAAAATAAATT